GGATATGAAGGATATGAAGGATATGAAGGATAAGAAGGATATGAAGGATATGAAGGATATGAAGGATATGAAGGATGTGAAGGATGTGAAGGATATGAAGGATATGAAGGATATGAAGGATGTGAAGGATGTGAAGGATATGAAGGATGTGAAGGATATAGAGGATATGAAGGATAAGAAGGATAAGAAGGATATGAAGGATATGAAGGATAAGAAGGATATGAAGGATATGAAGGATGAGAAGGATATGAAGGATGTGAAGGATAAAGAAGATATGAAGGATATGAAGTTGAGTAAATATTCTTTCAATTACTGCACTATCTTGAAAATTAGCTTAAAGAGTTCTTCTAACCAGTGAAAAGTGATTTTATATGTAGTAGAGGAGGGAATGGGAGGAAATGTCATACAGATTTATCGTCGTACTTAAAAAATGGCACACTTAGAAAGAACTTATTTTCATACTAGCAGTATGGGATAGAAACAGTAATATACTTAAAAAATTTTAAGCCCATCAATTAAATGAAGGATATAAAGGATACAAAGGATACAAAGGATACAAAGGATATGAAGAATATGAAGGATATGACGGATATGAAGGATATGAAGGATATGAAGAAAAAATATGGGGAACAAATACCTCTTAATTTCTATTAAGGAAAATCGAATTTTTCATGTTATCCCCAGGAGCTACTCGTAAATTCCCTTTCATTCTACTCAAAATCGATGTACTATTCAACCCTCTTCGAGGCTTGTATGCCCACGTTGGGCGCCATTTTTGTAACATGGTATTTGTTATTTTATCTATCTGTTATAGTGTTTTTAGCTCAATTGATTTTGGGAGTGGGTCAGGTTATTAAATAACTCGTATTACCTTGAAAAAGAAGTTGGGCACCACTATATTTAAAACTTATACTCGACTATAGATTAGTGATAAAAATATACAAAATCACTAACCATTAAGATATTATATATAAACCAAGTTTTAGATAAGGCAGTAACAAATTCTAATTCACAGAGATTTACTTAATTCAAATTTAGAGGATTTATTTAAAAAAAAAAACACTTATCTGTTTTAATAGGAGGTAGAATATAAGGAGTGATTTCTAGGCCTTCTTCAAAGGGACTTGAACGATATTCTTCGGATAGCACCAAACTCTTAGGTATAAATCTTCATCAACTCCTTGATATAAAATTGATATAAACTTCTTAGATACAACTTGAAATTAACTTCTTAGATAGGACTTGAAATAAACTTCTTTATATAACTCGAAATAAACTTCTTTAGATATAACTCGTACTAAACTTCTTAGATACAGCTTGAACTAAACCATCTAGATAGAACTCGTACTAAACTTCTTAGATACAGCTTGAACTAAACCGTCTAGATATAGCCAGGCTAAAAGGAAAAGGTAAAAATATTAAGAAAGGAAATAGGAAATTTGCACAGGAACCAGATAAAATGCCTTTAACTAATAATTGAACAATTGATAATTATTAACTGAATAATTTCACAGAGACTAAAATTAATATGAAAAGGAAAAAATCTTATTTAACATATTTAAATATAGTATAATATCTCATTCCTAACAAAATAATATATAAAATTATGTAAAACGTGTTATCCATGTGTTATTCATGTATTGAGGTTATTTTTAAAATTTTACATTTCATTTAAGAAATTCTTGTACAAAATATATATTTTCAACAATATATCGGTATTAAAGCTTACCTTATAAAATCAGACGGCCAATAAGAATATTAAAAGACAATTAGTACATCGGATGTCCAAGATAATTAAAAATCAAAATCAACTTGATTCGTTGACATCCAAATCAAAAGTAATTCTCGCAAAGCGAATAAAAAAGAAGAAGACGAAAAATGACATTTGAGTAGAGAGGTTTGTGTCAAAATAACGAAAACGGTTCTAACCGTTACAAAATGGGGCACTTAAACCTGTCACTATCTGACGGTTTAGTACTATCGGACTACTTTGTATATTAATAAATAGTTAGAAAGATATATTATGATAGATTGTAAAACATATTGGGACATTTTCCAACAGAAAACCAAAAAAAGCTCTAGAGAATAAAAAGAGTGTTTAGGACGACATATTTCTTGCTTTTTTCTGGTGTTGAAATGGAACAGGAATATTTGGCAGAGTGGGCAACGACCCGTACGTGTTTTAAGGATTTGGTTCATAAAGCTCTTCTGTAGCACAGGTCCCTTTTGTCATTTATTTTAGTGATGTATCTGTTTAATGAGCGCTTCCTGTGGTTACGTGTTCTATAGATTCTTATTCGTGAGACGTCTATCCCCTGCTGAGATTAATGGTAGCTGTAAATTCACAATACTTAATTTGTTCGACGCGAAAAAAACTATTTATAATCTATTTTATAAGTTATACGCAAATCCCTGTCGAATTATTTTCATATTTACCACGTGATATACTAGATATTACGAATAAATTACATTTTAAAAGGACCTTAAAAAATACCAAGCTGAAATGCATCGTGAAACCATTCATGAATTATTGAATGTCTACACACCTACAATATTTTTATGAATGACTCTGCGAAGTATGATCATATTATACATATGTACCAACCTATTACTTTTTATTTTTAATTTACTGTTATATTATTGTATTTTTATAGTGTTAATAATTATTTATGTTTGTTATTTAACTCATACAAAGACTCTGTGTAAATTTGTAGGAGTTTCTCTGTGCGATTTGTCAAAAGCTTTTGACTGTGTGTCACACGATATTCTTCTTAAAATGCTCAGTTACTATGGGATTAGAGGAACTGAGTTGCACCGTTTTAACTCATATCTTAACAATCTGTTTCAAAGTGTATTTTATAATAATTGCCAGTAGGATTTAAACCCTGTAAAAACACTAGTTCCATAAGGATCAATTCTGGGGCCGTTACTTTTTATTATATACATACGCAGTGTATTACTTGCTTATGATACTACCTTAATTTATTCAAGTAAATGCTACTCACGATTACCTAGTCTAACCAACGAACTGGAAGAAAAAGCAAGTTATTTGTTTTGCCGAAAATAGGCGTAAATTAAATTAAAATAAATCACACATGATTATGTCGTTGCTTGCACTATTACCAGAGCCTAACTGTAAAGTTATTATGTTTTTCTATAGATAATAAATTAAACTGATCTAGGCACATTGGACAATACCTTGCTTTTGCACTACATGCACCATTACCAGAACCTATCTGTAAAGTTGTTACAGGTATTATTATGGATAATCCAGTCATATTGGACAATTGAAAAAAAAATAGTTATCTAGCTCCTTATTCTTACTTCCTAAATTAAAAAAACGTAACTAGTTATCATACTTTTAAAATAGCTTACTTTCTCTTGTTCATTATCATATATCTTATGTGGAAACTCGATTGAAACTGAAGCTATTTTCGTTCAACAAAAAAGAGAGCAATAGGAATTTTGCCAAATGTGTGGCATAGGGACTCTTCTATAGACTTATTTTTTATACATAACATTTTTGCTCTTCCGTTTCTGTATGTGATCAGTCTTAATGAGATTCACAAAAGAGCTGCCTCATTTCCTACTCACTCTAATATTCATCTTGAACAAGGCCTTTACACGAGAATTGTTGACTTAATTCGACTACCTTTATATAGAGCATTAAAAACACAGAAAACCTCAACATTAGTCTATTTAATGCTCTTTCTAGTAATTTAAAAACGAAAAACATATTTTGTTTTAAAAAATTTTATATAAATAAAAAATATCCTTGGTTTATTCGGTCTTTTTTTGTTTTCAATTGTTTAGCACAGCACTACATATGTTTCGGAAAACTTTTCCATATTCGGGTGCAGTCATACATTAATAAAACATGGGGACGATTACATTTTTTTTTCGAATACACCTTCACACGATGAAACATAAAGATGAAGTTTCTGTTATTTTAAATTGTTTTTAATTTGTTTTTAATCGTCTCCATATTTGTATTTTAACGTATGACTGCACCCGAAGATGGAAAAGTTTTCCGAAACATATGTAGTGCTGTGCTAAACAATTGAAAATAAAAAAAGACCGAATAAACCAAGGAAATTTTTATTTATATAAAATTTTTACTTTATTTCTAAATTTTTAAATCATGTTCGTTTCCATTCATTTCCGTGTTGATGGTGCATTCTCCCTGGATCTTCTCATTAAAGATATCCTAAAAATATTTGGTTTGTAGTGATGTCAGTTTATTTAAGAAATTTTTATCTGTTATTCATGTTCATTGATTTTATTGTTGTATACATGGACACTGTCTTTTCTCTGTTTGTAACTTTCATCTCATGATTTATTTGTTTATTTTGTAACTCTTCTGTTTTTTTTTTACCTGTATAAATCTGTATATTTATAAATTATAGTTAAATAAAGTATTTTATTCTATTCATAACTTATTATGTGTGTATTATTTCCCTAAATAAATAAATTCTAAATAATAAAATTCCTTTAAATATTTTGAAAATTCCTTTAAAAATGTTTATTTACTTTTGTGAAATTATATTCTATTTTAAATATGTACATTTGATCGTTTTGGAATTTTAAATAGTTACAGTAAGTAGTGGCTCAAATACAGGTATTAGAAGTTAAAACAAATATTTTTCTTGTCATACTTTTTACCCTTTGAAACACAATTTAAAAAATGTATAATACGTTCGATTGTGTTACTTTTTCTTTAACACTTTTTAAAATTATTACTGTTTTCCCAAGTTATCTTCAAAGGCAATGCTCAAAAAAAACTGAAAAAATCACCAACATTGAGAATAAGATGTAAATTGACCCAAAATTATCAAGAATTCATCTACTGTAGTGGTACTTTGTATCAACATATAACTTTAATTTATTAATACATATTTTTAGGTTTTCATTGCTATATTTGATATATTTTTCGTATAATATAACGCAGAATTTTTTCATTTTCATTTTACTTGGAAATAATATGTTTTTTCTTATTTCAGGAAGCACATAATATGGTTAGAGAGGCTAACGAGAAACAAGCCGCAGCCGAAAAAGCTCTCAAAGAAAGTCAAATGAAAGTTGACGTTCTGACTGCCGAAGTGACTGCCTTAAAAACTTTAGTTTTAACTTCAACTCCTAGTCATCCTAATCCACACCTGCATCCCCAAATTGCCAACGAAGCTGGTAAGTTAATCATTTTTAAAGTAAATCCCATTTAATTATACAGGGTATTTTTTAATACCATGTACATACGGAAAGAGGTAATTGTTTGGCTTATTTCATGACTAAAAAGTTATATAAATATACAGGGTGTTTCATAATATATGCGCAGGACTTCAAGACGTGATAGCTCGTCCAAAAATATGAAAAAACGTTTCTATTAACTAACCATTTTCGAGATACATTGAAATTGAAAAAGACAAAAAAGGTACTCTTGGTCATACGCTCTAAAGTCGACCGTTTTCGAGAAAAATCAAATTTTGTTTCATCAAGTAGGTTTTAAATTTCAAAAAAAAAAGCTACCTCTTGTCAAAATAACAATTAGTTTGTGCCTGCAAAAGATAAATTTGTATTATAAAATTCAAAATGAATTACACAAACGCTGAAATGTGCGAAATGTATTACCTTTACGGATTGGCGGAAGGTAATACGGCAGAAGCAAGGCGGTTGTATCAAGAAAGACATCCTGATCGCCAAGTACCACAAAAAAAATTCAGGGAAAGAAAAGGGGACAAGACCTCTGAAAAATTATCTTCCTGTAGATTCTCACAACCAATCGACATGCCCGTTGATGTAAGCCCTACAGCGTAAATATATTCCAAATTTGAACTAAATGTATCAAAAACTGCAGTAGCTATAACCAAAAAATCTTGAAATTTCAACAGTCTGTAGATCGTTTACGAAAAATTTGCGGACCTATGTTTATATGACATTTTAATTAGTGATGCCGCGAGACGAGACGAGAGAGAAAGGCCTCTCTCGTCTACTAGGGCGAGAGAAGACGTTTCCCTCGCCCTATCAAACTTAAATTTGGAAAAGATATACTTAAGACGAAACATGAAATTAACTGTAAAATTGTGAAGACAAAAACAATGCTTCTTTCTTTTTAATTAATTTGTCTCATTAGTACCCAAATTGGTAATAAGAAACAATTATGGAATCACCTCGGTGTCTCTCTGATGTCAGTCTGCCACAGTCGTTTTCTTCAGAGACTATTTGTTGGACACTATTGAAATTTGTTATCAGTGGCCCAAATTAGGCATTAACTAAAAACGTACATACTTTGTCTTGGAAGTCAGTGTAATATCAAATGAACGTATTTTGAAGCATGTTTTCAAAAATATATAATACGTTCGTTTGTGTTACTTTTTCTGTGACAGTTTTTCAAGAAAAACGAAAAATTTCCGTCTCACCAACCTATCTCCAGAGGTAACCTCAGAAAAACTGAATCGATCTAACAAATTGTTATATAAATATTCATTTGTAATATTTTTAAAAATTCAAGTTTTTAGGCGATGCGTTTTTGTAATATATTTTAAAATAGCAAAATTAGCAAAAAAATAAGTTTATCCATGTTACTGTCCAGGTACGAAAACGATTCAAACAATTAAATGCTATTTATGTAGGGTGAGTAACCTATAAAATTTCCCATGTGGCTAAAAGAAGTTTAAATTTACTCTCCAAATCTGTTTTTTAATTTACATTACAGTTTTATATTTACAAATTAATAAATCTAAATTATTTTATTTTTTCTTTGTTTAATCTAAATGTATTTCCATTTTAATAATAAATGTGAAAACTACTACAGTGTTATTATGTTAAAAAACTTTTTATTTTGAATATTTAAAGTAAAGTTATTTAGGAAAATTATCCCAAGAACTATTTTAAAAAATATGTATTTTCCCGTGATCATTTTTACCTAATCAGTGATGATGAATATCTTTTTCGTTTGATATTTAAATTTTAAGTCAATAAAAACACTTCTTGCAGCTTCCATTTAACATGAATTTTAAATAAATGAAATGGAAAATATTTTTTTTTATAAATCACTATAAAATCCCTATTACATTCGTATTATTTTTTACCATTTAATATATAGAGAATACGTGTTAACTTTTGACTATCTGGAAATCTGATGTTTAAATTTTAAGTTACGATAAGCAATTGATAATTTCAAAAAGTAAATTGCTCGAGAGAACTTCAGAGAAACGAGAAATTCTCGTCGAGAGATGACACTCTCTCGTCTCGAATTTTTTTTCGAGAGAAAATGTCTCTCGTCTCGTTGAGACGAAACAAACCGAAACGAGAGATAAGAATCTTTCGTCTCGCGGCATCACTAATTTTAGTCTTGAATTAAGCCAAAGCACATAAAATTTTAAAACATCCTTTATAAAAATCCAAAAATATCCGGTCTAATGTGATTAGAAAATTTGAAAATCGCCTGATCAACCCCAATAATGTTCAGGGTTTCATTAATTATAAGAAAACCGTTAGCCAGAGATACTGCTGGTTAATTAATGAACATTAAAATATTTTATCTGAATGTTGAACTAACTAATGAATATACTATTTAAATTTGGGTCCGATGACTACTTAAGTACTAATTATTTAAGTTCCTATATTAATTTTTAAGTTGACAAATGTTTCGCAAATGTGGCATTTCTATATGAGCAAAGAAAACATATTTACCACAGACTTTTATTTAAATTAAAAATTTTAAAACATGCCTGTCTCTTAATTTTAAATAGGGTGTTATCAATCCTCTTCAGACCTTTTATATACATGTTTGGTAGGTCGGAAGTCGGAAGAAAACGAAAACCTAAATAAGTACCATTTTTCTCAAAAGTATAAAATAAAATGACAAAAAAATAAGTTTAGCACAAAAATTCACTGTCTTAAAATAAAATATCTGATGTGTCCAAATATGACTTTTCTGTAAAGTTATCAAATATATTGAATACGGCCTATCTAATCAAAATAATAATAATCAAATAGTCAAATTTTTTCATTAGTCCATTTTAAACTTCAACATTTACAAAGTACCGTCTTTAGCAAAATTTTGTTGCAAAATGTCTACTTTTATTTTCCTGTTAATCACATCTTTGTATGTATTAAGTAAGTTAAGTAAGTTTTTCTCTTAATCCGTTTTTGAGTTATCGTGGGATACAGACACACACACATACACACCCAGATAGACATCATCGCGAAAATGATGAAAACTAATTCAGGGAACCCCAAAGCGGTACATCCGTCGAAAAAAATCATGATACCCATACTTTCATTACTGATTACAGAAGAGTAAAAAAGTAACATTCACTTTATTTAAGCATTTCTCCTTCATTTTATTAATTCAAATTATAGGTAAGAATCTTTCATTTATTGTAAAATATTGTAAAAACCCAGATTTTTAGTCTTGATGATGGCGCACAGTGATCGAATCCAGTGGTCTCATCAATTAAAATCTTTATTATTAATAAAAATCTGTAGTAAATGTCTTTAGATTTAGATTTCTTTCCTCATATTTCTAATTTAGGCCCGAGTTGTTTAGTATATTTTTTCTACCCACTAAAAAAAATTTACAAAATTTTAAAAATTAATTTGTAGGTTATTATTTAAAAATAATTAATACAAAGATTTTTTAATTTACTAAATTATTAACTAAATAAAAATAATTTTATTTACCTTCTAGCAATTAATTTGACAGATTTGCCACTTATTTGAAATTAAAAAAAAAGAATAGTCGGCCGAGTACAAAATATGAACTGTGATTGGTGGATTTCATATCCTTTCTAGAATGGTTTTGAAATTGTATCCGTTAAGTAGTCTAATAGGTATGCCTACATTTTCATTTTATGATTTGTGTATAAATGTATTTGTAGAAAAAATCAATAGTTTACAAATTCTTCGCAAATAAATATTACCCTACTATATTAAATAGATAAAATTTTTCCATTATATATTTTTTTACTCAAAGACGGATATTTTTGGACCTTACCTAATAATTAAAACGTTTATCCTTCTATTTATGTACATAATATAAAAATAAATCTGTTACTCATCAGTTTGATAAGCATTTTATCTTATGCAAAACATATTTGTTTACCTCATTTTTCATTCATTTTGTTATCATTTTTCATTCATTTTGTTATCATTTTTCATTTTCAGTTTTACTAAAAAATACTCAGTACAACTGTTTTTTGACTCGTCTAAAAAAGGTTCACACCAGGTGGCAGTCTCGAAGCAAAGTTGAGGTTACTACTCCAACCAGAGATATCGGTAAACATAGTGAGTTGGAAAAATCACTAATGGCATTGATATCTAGTAACAATTTTTGTTGGTTTTGATATTTATGGGCATTTTTGTCGCGGTAAATGATACTAGAAACCAATGTATGCTGGTTGTTTTAATTTTTGTGGGAACAGATTTTTAGTTTTGTGTGAATTTCAGACGTTACTTAACTAAAAAATATTTTTAAGTTATGATTATTATTTAAAACAAAAATAAATACTTATTATGTACAAGGTGATGCAAAATTAAATACCGTAGATCGTTAAGGTAATTTAAATCTCTGATAAAACACACTTTTTCTGCTAACTTAGACATATACCATAAAGAGTCATTTTTCAGTACCTCTAGTAGTTTTGTATGCTCACATTTCTTGGATTATCAAGGATAATACCACAAGAGGTGAGCAATTTTTAAGAACATTTTGTCGAAAATTTTGTTATTTCTTTGGAAATTTGCATAATTTGTAAGGAAACAACAAAATGTACTCAAAAAAATTCTTACCCTCTCCTCGTATTTGGAAAGATTATTTAACAATATAAACATAACTTAAATAAACAACATTTGCATTGTTTCCATAAGATGCACTTTGTTTTGATTAACGTAGGTTGAAGGATTAAATATTCATCAAACTAAAGTCATATGACATATCGTGGTACCTTGATTCTACAAATGATTATCTTCATAGAGACCTGAAGATGCTAACATTCGAAAAATAAAGAAGTTTGCTGCGAAAAATGAGGGTCGAACTCCATGCCCATGTCAATGAAAATACCCTGAAATTACTTGACAACTCTACACTCAACAGAAAACCCAAAAGGAAAAATCCCAAAGAATTTGTGCATTGAACGTTGGTTCCCGGAAAATTGATCTAAAAAAATTAAGTCTAAAACATAATG